CCTGTTTAGCTCCGTAAGAGACATTTTAACATGTTTAACAAAAGAGATCATAAATTGGTGAGTCTTTACATATCGTATGATAACGTGAAACTTTAACTTCCCTCATATTCACATGTTTTAATTGCGATTGTTCTCCAGAGGACAAGGTATGGAGGGAGGATCATCATACTCATCGATACAGAAGCTTATGTTGTATTCACTTAACGATAAGCCTCTCTCACCACTACAGCTAATACATTTACCGGTGCACTAACATCTTCAGGGGAGCACCTGTTTTGTTTACGGTAGCTTATTAATGCCTCGTTTATCATCGCGTTAACAAAGGGAGATAACAAGACAGAGACCCGTTGCAAGATGCGGATGCTGAGATTGTATGATACGCGGGAAAACGCCACGGATCACTGACTACATACGGACGCTGTAACTAGACATGAAGGGCAGCTATGTGGTTTGTGGATAGCCTGGTGGTGTTGGGAGGTTTCAGCAGAAGAGAGAGGTTGACGTTGTGAGGGTGTGTATGGGTTGGGAGGGGAGGGTTTGACGTTGTGAGGGTGTGTATGGGTTGGGAGGGGAGAGGTTGACGTTGTGAGGGGGTGTATGGGTTGGGAGGGGAGAGGTTGACGTTGTGAGGGTGTGTATGGGTTGGGAGGGGAGGGGATGACGTTGTGAGGGTGTGTATGGGTTGGGAGGGGAGGGATTGATGTAGTGAGGGTATGTATGGGTTGGTAGGGGAGGCGTTGACGTAGTGAGGGTATACGTATAGCGATAGAGAATGCACTATCATAAAACATGAACTGTTTCAGCTTGTCTTTGTTTATTTGAACAATTATAAAATTTCTACAAAATACACAATTCTCATTTTGAAATGTAAGCAAGTTAGAGACCGAACCAAAGATTTTTCTCCGGCTGAGATCACGACACTTCTATATACTGTATCATCTGAGATACTGACTATCTGGTTGTCGAACTAGAGTATTAAACTATCGCCCATTGGCATGTATGATAGAGCATGCAAATCACAAGACATTTTCCATTCCGAATTATATGAATTGTGGACTAATTACTACATGATTGTGGGTTTCACTATTTTCTACCCGCACAGCCAAATAAAAAACAAAACGGATAAACTTGTTGAATTGAATCAGTTTATTTTGCCTATAACTTCGTGATTAGCAGTCGAAGCCTTGCTCAAGTCCGTTATTATATTATAAATTCAAGCACCTGTGATTTGTACCTAAAGAACTATAACGAACTTGATGCGAGAGGTCGACAAGGGAAGGAGTATGGAGCTGTATAACTTTATAACGAAAGAAGGGAGGCGGATAATGCATTCGTTTGGATGGATAGAGGGGGGTCGGAGAAAAATGTATGCAACCTCGCTGACAGGTTTATTACCGTGAAACTGAATTTAATCTTAAAAAATGGGTAACTTCATCAAACTTTGAATGCTTTTGACCCACAAAGCCCGAAAAATAAAAGCTATCGACTATGTGTAACTGGCGGAAAGCGTCCTGATTGAATTAGATTGTATTTACTGCATGAACAGTAGTTCCTCAATGTTGTTATTTGTGTGACTGGTTTCAGTACGCTCGGAAACATCCACCGGTACAGCAGCAAAGTAGCCGTGAAACTCGGCAGTAATGGCTTCGGATCTGCAATTGGTGTAGGGCGATAAGTAGAAATCTTGGGTAAATTGCATCCTAGGGAAAGCGTTTCTGCACACGCATCTGCCTAAATAATCTCGTGCATTGGCCCATGCAGGCTACTAGACCCTAAAATCCTAGAGATGGGCCCCCAGATGGCCTGCCGACAGGATGTGGATGCCAAAAGGGTTCCCGTCTGTAGGGACCTGGACGATGACTTTCCCAGATTCCACGGGGTCGTTTTATCTATTTTTCAACTGCTGAAGATGTACATGGAAATGTAATGTCAAGGACAGAGAACCTCCATTAGACATCCCCATTCATGATTATTTGTTGTCCATATCTGGTACTGTGATAACCTAGTGATGTCTGTAACGTTCATTAGAATACGTACAGCGCCAAATGGCTCCAAGACAGACTTCATTAAAATATCAACATTTATAACGCTGACAGGCACACACGGAACCTTCAACGAACATGTCGCTATTATTGTATTCCATTCTTCTACCACACACTGGAGATATAAATTCACCGTTATTCAATTGCTGTTTAGTAAATTCGGTCGCACCATCTGGCCAGACGGATTGTAATCATTATAACAAAGATAATTTAGGCAACGCCCGCGCTGGTAATAAAGGGTACAGAGACTGTAGATCGGACAATCATTATCACGACAATCTTATAGATTGTACAAAACACGTCCAAAAACGAGGGCGACGGCAGGGAGGCAGCTGTCCCACGAAGCCTCTATTTACGGTAAATGTTTAAGATTTCAGAGAAAAAAAAATGTGTTTCAATTTTAACTATATTTCCGCTTTTCACGCTATGATGTATTAAGGTTTGTAATGTACAACCTCAAATCTTCAAAATATTTAGTAAAAATACAGTTTACGGATAATCTGTCCGCCATTTAGTGTACATGTACAAATAAAACTTTGGCGGCGTATTTCAATCTTCTGTATAATCTGAATTATTCTTTGGAGTAAGTCAGAAACTAATGTCAAAACAAATAAACAAATAATACCGTCCATATTTTGAAAATAATATGCGTTCCTTGAGCGGAATGGTAAACACATCGATAAACGTTAACCAGAAAGATTGATATAGAAGTTACACACAGACTTCAGTTGATAAAGATTAAAGATCTAGAATAGATCAGTTTTTAACAAGTTTGGTGACGATACAGATTAAACAGAACCTACAGCAGTTTTTGATAAAGTCCATCAATGTTTGAGAACATTTACCGTGTTTGACAAAACGATTCTCCCGTTCTTTTTGTGTCAACGTACCCCAAGATCGATGACGTAACTAAGCCGGGGGTACGGGACGTGAGGGATGAGTAACCATGTGATGACACATTTTTTCTACAATGAAAGACTTAATTATTGCCACCACGATGGCAATTAATTTGGATTAGTATAAAAGGATTACGAGTCGAGCTAATTCCCTTAATTCTCTTTGTCTCGGGTGAACTGCGGCGTCGTTATTAGTCGTCCGAGGAAAGCTTAAGATTAGATATTTTAGTTTCTGACGTAATTTAATTTCAATAATTAAAGAAATGAAGAGCATCGACAATAAAATGTCGAACTCAGCAAAATTTGTTCTAAAACAAATCGCTGGTATGAAATATGAACATTTCTGTTCATGACAACTAAAAACGATTAAAGGTTGAAGTTGGGAAATGCAAATTTTCAGTGGTAATGGCATACATTTAACCTCAGACATTCCACTTGGACCTACCTCCAAATGTTCCGCTTTCGATATCGCATACCAACTCTGCACAGGAGGTATAGTAAGCGTACCCTTCTATTTGAAATATGTCGCTAGGTCATTACGAAGTGGTATTTTTTGTAGCTACGTTATGGGATTCAAAAGTCCGGGAAAGTGCTTGGTAGTATGAAACCACAATCGTATACAGAGGTAAACACCATAGACTTCATAAGTATAACAGTCGTGTATGGGGTAAACAACACACACTAACTTAGTATTAGAACCACAGCCGTGTATGGGGTAAACAACACACACTTACTTAGTATAAGAACCACAGCCGTGTATGGGGTAAACAACACACACTAACTTAGTATAAGAACCACAGTCGTGTATAGGGTAAACAACACACACTAACTTAGTATTAGAACCAGAGCCGTGTATGGGGTAAACAACACACACTTACTTAGTATTAGAACCACAGCCGTGTATGGGGTAAACAACACACACTTATACTAAGTATAAGAACCACAGCCGTGTATGGGGTAAACAACACACACTAACTTAGTATAAGAACCACAGTCGTGTATGGGGTAAACAACACACACTAACTTAGAATAAGAACCACAGTCGTGTATGGGGACGTTAAACAACACACACTAACTTAGCATAAGAACTACAGTCGTGTATGGGGTAAACAACACACACTAACTTAGTATAAGAACCACAGTCGTGTATGGGGTAAACAACACACACTAACTTAGTATAAGAACCACAGTCGTGTATGGGGTAAACAACACACACTAACTTAGCATAAGAACTACAGCCGTGTATGGGGTAAACAACACACACTAACTTAGTATAAGAACCACAGTCGTGTATGGGGTAACCAACACACACTAACTTAGCATAAGAACTACAGTCGTGTATGGGGTAAACAACACAAACTAACTTAGTATAAGAACCACAGTCGTTTATGGGGTAAACAACACACACTAACTTAGCATAAGAACCACAGTCGTGTATGGGGTAACCAACACACACTAACTTAGCATAAGAACTCCAGCCGTGTATGGGGTAAACAACACACACTAACTCAGTATAAGAACCACAGGCGTGTATGGGGTAAACAACACACACTTACTTAGTATAAGAACCACAGTCGTGTATGGGGTAAACAACACACACTAACTCAGTATAAGAACCACAGTCGTGTATGGGGTAAACAACATACACTAACTTAGTATAAGAACTACAGTCGTGTATGGGGTAAACAACACACACTAACTTGGTATAAGAACTACAGTCGTGTATTGGGTAAACAACACACACTTGTTGTTTCATCCTCGATACTCCAAAGAACACACACTAACTTAATATCAGAACTTCAATCATATAACTTTGTATGAGGAATAACTTAAATAATTGAATTACTGGAATGTGTCTTTAACATTATTAAGTAATAGATGGAAGTTTTTGTCAGAAACGTAATAAAGGAACACGCTGGCATTACACGCATGAATCGTTTTAACGTGGTTAAGTAGTTAAAAGAGTGAGACGATGTTTTAGTTCGTTACGTTTTGACATGAACGGCCTTAACCAGGAAGTACCCTATTAAGTTTTTTTGGTCAGACTAACAAGTGTACTCACCTGGATGGTCTACGGTTGTTGTTTTCCATGAAGGTGTAGGAGTAAGTCGTTAAGGTCCCTGGGTCCACTCCATTGGTCAAGGATTTCTTCGGTCGTGGCCGGACAGCCAGGGTCGGCTTTTTCTGGTGATGCGGCAGCAAGGCCGCCGTACAGTTCAACGACATATCTGATTGTTAAACTCTCACGTTAAAAGTTAAAACTTTACAGTAATCCCAAACTACGAAACGGGCCACTGCTCTTTGTTAGCCACTTGGCATAAATGGGTCGTCTCCATCAGCGATCAGCTGCTAAAGCAGGATAACTATCAGTAGACGTCACATGACAAGTGGTACAGAAGGTCTCTGTTTACGTTTGTAAAGGTCAACTAGCACTACCTCCCGTAGACGAATAAAAACTTTACTATTGAAACTTGTTTATTTTTTTAGTTTAAATTATATTTCTAACAACACATGGAGTCTCACAGAAGTCTCTCTCGCCAACTTCCCAGTGTTTCAGCCTCTAGCATTCAGTTGTGTAATTCCACATCACTTTCTTTTTAAACACTACGCCTCACGCTGCCGCTGTCCGTGCAGAGCGTTCCTGGTTACAGCTGCTGCACTGACAATACTGAAGTCTGCTCAATAACTCTTAACATCGACACGGTTCAGTGACTTCAACATGACAAAGTACAAAAACACTTAACAAAAAGACAGAATGAAATCCCACATAAAGACAGAATGAAATCCCGGCACTTGCCGTGAGATGCTCTCTACTACAGCGACCGATGTAGGCCAGCATCAGTAGCGATTGCTGTTATAACTATCAGCGTCAAGTAGTTTATTAGGCTCCTCAAAGACAAAATATTGCTGATAAATGGTAAGGAAAGCTGCTCTCTAATTAGCGAATGAGTCACATGATGTGTGAACGCGCACTGGACGGGTAAAATCCCAGCCTCATCAACTGTGCTCCTGAATCGCCCCAGTTCCTTTGTTTGTTTACTATAGCCACGCGGTCTCCGGAACAACTGTCATAAGTATATCTCTGGCATTTCAGTTTCCAAACAGTTCAGGAAGCCATATACTCACCATAACTAAACTTGTACACGGTATAATACAGGGCACCAACAATCCGGGGGATAGGAGGAGGATTTGACGGGTGTCAATACGGATTTTCCAGTACAAACACAGGGAGTAGTGTGTACGACCGACAGTATGAACTTTACAGTGAGGGGGATCGCAATGAAACATATGGACGAGTGAAATGGGATACCCGCGTCACTGGGGAACGCTCCCTGTCTACACAGATACCCGCGTCACTGGGGATACGCTCCCTGTCTACAATGTTCAAAATTTCATTCAGGGTTTTTTTCTGCTAGTTTTTTCCGAGTTTTAACGTTTGTAATGAATGTTAGATTTTGTTTTCCAATACCAGCAGCACACATAAATCTCCATTTCTTGGATAATATATACGGACATATCCCCCACCCTAAAAATGTTTCTTTGATTATCTTTACCTCTTTTTCTTGCTTACTGAAAGAGTTTACTTATGCAAATTATGCTGATTTTTTTTTGTCCTCGGATTTATAACACTTCAACCAAGATGGTTGTCTAAGGTTTTTATGTTGTTATTTAAACTATAGCGTTAACGTTACATGTCTTCTTAACTCGGTCATTTACAGGCCGCACACATTGTTGTCCTCGGTGCATGTCTGTAGAATTTAAACATTGAGTTGGGGGACAGCTGACTGCTAAAAAACTGGAGGGAGGCAGACTTTGATTACACGCGCTGTTAGAACACGACAGATATGGTTTTATTCTGCGTGTGAATTGAAGGTTACCCATCAATACATTATTGCGTTCGGCTGACTTTCCTGTCGGCGGCGATCTTGAGACAAGGACCATTATCTCAACATCAGAGAGACGCAACCCTCCCCCTCTCCGCTCTAATTAATGCGCTGAGGGGTCCCCCTCTCCGCTCTTATTAATGCGCTGAGGGATCCCCCTTCCCGCTCTAATTACTGCGCTGAGGTACCCCCTTCCCGCTCTAATTACTTCGCTGAGGGATTCTCCTCTCCGCCCTAATGATTTCGCTGAGGGACCCCCTTCCCGCTCCAATTACTGCCCTGTATGATGGATCCCCTTTCCCGCCCTAATTACTGCGATGAGGGATCCCCCTTCCCGCTCTATTTACTGTACTGAGGGAACCCCTTCCCGCTCTGATTATTACGCTGAGGGATCCCCCTTCCCGCCCTAATTATTACGCTGAGGGATCCCCTTCCCGCTCCAATTACTGCGCTGAGGGATCCCCCTTCCCGCTCTAATTACTACGCTGAGCGATCCCCCTTCCCGCCCTAATTATTACGCTGAGGGACCCCCTTCCCGCTCTTATTATTACGCTGAGGGACCCCCTTCCCGCTCTTATTATTTCGCCGAGGGGTCCCCCTTCCCGCTCTAATTATTGCGCAGAGGGATCCCCCTTCCCGCTCTAATTACTACGCTGAGGGATCCCCCTTTCCGCCCTAATTACTGCGCTGAGGGATCCCCCTTCCCGCTCTAATTACTGCGCTGAGGGATCCCCCTTCCCGCTCTAATTACTACGCTGAGGGATCCCCCTTCCCGCCCTAATTACTGCGCTGAGGGATCCCTCTTCCCGCTCTAATTAACTAACCCCCTGGACGGCTCCCACTCCCCGAGGGAGAAGGTTCCCGACGACTAGCGGTTACTAAATGGATTGCAGTTGTACACCAATTATCTTGCCTTTATCAGGACGTACTACTACACCTCAAGGATTCTTCACGGTATTTGATATCTTAAAATAACCATGTCCAAATAGATTCCTGAAACTCTGGAATGGCCACTCGGCCACGATGTCTGTCTGAGATTTGTTGGGTTTTTATGGAGATATGTCTATTCTATACGTCTGAACACCATTTTGGGCGAGATCGTGACACAAGCTCACGGACAACTCTGTTGAAAAGAAATAAAAGTTGTGGTGAGGATAAAATATTAAACGAATTATTCATTGATTGCAAAGAGATACTAGTACCATACATAACTAAATTTTTTAACTCAGTTTTTCAAGCAGGACTTTTCCCAGAATCTTGGTCAACTGGGTGTATCATGCCAGTATATAAAAAAGGTGATATTGAAAACACGAATAATTATAGAGGTATTACTTTAGTTAGTTGTATGGGAAAGTTGTTTACATCAATATTGAATTGGCGATTAGTGAAATGGGACACCGAAAATAATATTATAACGGATGCCCAATTTGGTTTTAGGCCTGGATACTCGACTGTTGATGCAATATTTGTCCTTCAGACATTAATTAATAAGTATTTAAGCAAAAGAGGTGGCAGACTATATTGTTGCTTTGTAGATTATAAGAAGGCCTTCGACCTAATTGAAAGATCTCATTTGTGGTGTAAATTG